CAAGAATGTTGGACAGGGGCAAAAGAGCTTTCTTATCTCGAACGACAGTAATAGAGCTGTTGTACGCTCTAGTGGAAAGAGTGGTATGGGAAGGTTGCATCTGAGTGAGTGAGGAAAGACCCGGAGGATTGAGAGCCTGTTCCCAGGAGGTGCATTTCGCCTTCAAGCTCAAAACTCTGCGTAATGACTGTTCTATACGAGCTCTGCCAATGATGCCGTTCTCCACACCAAGCTTTAATCCGGTGATCGCCTCCTGCTGTACCGGAAATGACCTGCAGAGAAGAATGATATCGCAGCCCGCCTTCTTTGCCATGACCGTCCCGCCACCCACCCCAATATTATGAGTGAGAGCTTCCATCTCCAGGCATTCTGAAACCACCACACCGTCGAATTTCATCTTCTTGCGCAACAGATCATCAACAACTTGCTCACTCAGGCAGGCATGCATCACGTGAAACCCAGCAGACGACATGGAAACACCTCCCACCATCATGGAATCAATTCCATGGAGTATGGCGTTTCGAAATGGAACTAGTGCGCTCAAGCTGAGTTGTTCTAGCGACTCAGTGATGATAGGGACGTCTGACTGGGATCCAAGAAATTCAAGGTTACCATATGATGGGAAATGTTTGCCGCATGTCACCAACCCTGCTTCTTTATAACCTTTCATGAATTCCACTCCGTATTGCGACACCTCTTGGGGATCATCACCCGTGGTACGAACTCCCAAGGGTTGGCTTCGTACGTTGGTCAAGACATCTAACACGGGGCCCAGAATCCAGTTGACTCCTACAGCTTTCAGTTCCTGGGCAGTTGCAACAGCGACATCATGGGCGAGAGTTTTCGAGCCTGTCGCAGCGATGCCCATTGCGCTAGGAAATTGTCGGATGTATATCTCATCGTAAAGACTATTCACACCTCCATTTTCCTGGTCCAAGGCGATGAGCAATGGCACTGGATGACCAGCATCCCGAGCGATTGTCTGGAGCTCGAGCACTAGTCGCGTAGCATCTTCTGCAGCTAGAAGTAAATTAGTGGTTATCGTACATGTGATGCGGCCGTAGGAAGGTAAGATAGATACGAGAGTAGAATCAACGATGAGAGAGGAAGGCAGAGATACATTTCAAGTTCTTGGCAGTCAGTAGGATTGAGCCCAGGTGATAATTCTCAATGAGAGAGCGTATTTGAGGATCAACGGACGTTCCATCAAAGCCCATCATAAAGAGCTGCCCCATCTGCCTGTCAGGAAAGCCATAGTACTCAAATCGTTAGCGAGGATCATTTATCCGGTAAAAGGAAACTAAAATCAAGGTGGTGGATAAAAATCAGAATTCCGGAAAACAAAAGTGGCAAAAGGAAAGAAAAAGAAAAAGGTGAAATGAAATGAAATGGAACAAAGGACAGATTGGAAAAGGCAAAGGTGAATAGCTGCAATCGGTCGTGACCTCTCCGCAAGCGGTGGTGCACAGTCCACGATGGCGAACCGCGTGCCAGACAGAATTGCTGCATACCTGTCTAGATCACCCCAGCCAGGGGGCAGCATGTCCTCTCTTGGGGCCATGAGGGCCCTGAATAAGGAATGCCAGCTTAGAATCTAACACAACGAACTGGGCAAGAGTAATCTGGCCCACACACAGTGACCATCAGGTTTCCAAGATCGATATCGGGTGGGCAAAAGATTAGGTTGGGACACGCCGCAAACGATGTCGGAGAATACGGCAAGGGCTAAAACCGGCAGTTGGATACTACAGATCAACTTAGGAATAGGCTAGTTAGGATTCATCCGAGCATGACCAGGGGCAAAGGACTGAACTGTGCAAGGCTGCAAGCTATGAGCAGGAGCTTCAACAGGTGGTGGTCAGTGCTTAACGAATGATAATGCATGGATAGTGTGGGGGCGAGGAAAAGAAAGATTTCAGGTCAAGAATACTATATAGTAGTACTAGTACTTGAATGAGGTCTTGAATACTGGAATTGGTAAAACTTTCTTGGACATTTGTTCTAGGAGAGTAGGTATCGGTGCAGTGACCATAATGATCCTCTACGAAAAAAATTTCCCCCCTCACTCTGGTACAATGAAAGCAATATTCCTAGGTTGTAACATCCTTGGCAGTATTGGAACCCGAATTCTGTTGAGGGCATTGGAAGCCCGAGGGTCACCTGGTCAGATCACGTGTAAATTTTGGTTCATGTTTGATACTATTACTTCTTTCGTACCATACAAACCTGTCATAACCACATTATTTACTAGCCAATACATGTATTGACATCAGATTACGAAAAAAAAATTCCCGCCTACCTGCCGAGAGTCCCATCAATCGATACAACGCCACGGCAGATAAGAGAGGGTTGCATGAGGGTTCCGATCCCTTCCCCGGTTTCCCGATCCTACCGAATGCAACGGCACTGTCAAGCAATTCAAACTGTGATTTGCCATTCTATTATAGCTTAGTGCCGCCCTGCAACTCCAGTTGACATTTGTACTATGCCACCCCTTCGTGCAACATTACGTTGAAGTGAAGGATGGACTGTCATATTCACTGTTCCCTAGTAGTAGCTAGGATGCAATCCATGACAAAGGTTGTTCATTTCCTGACGCGGACACTACTGGTTGATTGGATAGCCAGTGGGAAGTGTATGCGTCATCAGTCCACTGCAACGATGCTACTCTTTCCTCGGCAATAATGGTATTGAACATACAGGAAGGCGAAGAGTTGGGAACTGAACTCCATGGGACAGAGTATGATACCCTGTTGTATGTCTTGTTTATCACTCCTTGGTAGGTACTGTATGGATATGGATTGTTACTGCTCTTTCCGGCACGGGCCTCCTTTCGTTATGGAAGAGGCATGGGTCAAGTGACATTCATTACTCATGGCCGGGGGAGGGGAATAAAAATCAGACTGTGATAAGACGGTGGGAAAGACAGTATCATGCCGTAACACTCCACAGCCGATCCCAGGGCCTGCCAGGTAACTGTAACAGGTCCATTGGTCCACCTCGACTTTCTCCCATATTAGTACTTACTTGCCTCTTTGTCCACAATCCCCTTCTTCTTCTCTTGCTCTTCATATTTCTTCCTGTTCCAAAATATCTTTGATTCCTTGCCCTATACCAAACATCTTTGATTGCCTGGAATATATATCCTTTATCCTTCGGAAAAGAAAAGCCCCAGGCTTATCAGAAGACTCTCGTCTTTGCCCCACTGCGTTATCGGTGACGTAACCTAGTTCATCATGTATGGCATTATCTGTCTTTCCTTAGGCTGGGTTGAACTAGGCTCAAGGCTAACCATGTCCCTTCTATGTGTTTAGGAGAGTGATCATCAGAGAAACCGCCTTGGAGGCTTCGGAGTATATCGCCGACTATATCATCAGTATGTCGTTGCGTCAGTTGGCATGGCTTGGGCTCTTTCTGACTTCACACTCTCATAGGTCGAATCAAGGCCTTTAAGCCCACACAAGATCAGCCTTTTGTTCTTGGTCTTCCAACGGGTAGTAGTCCTGAAGTGATCTACAAGACCCTCGTGCAACGTCACAGAGCAGGAGACGTTTCCTTTAAGAATGTCGTGACCTTCAATATGGTAGGTTCCTGATATTTGTTAAAGCCGCACCCTCTATCAATGGCATCAAGTCGTATGCTAATTGCCGCAGGATGAATATGTTGGGTTACCTCGCGACCACCCTCAATCGTACCACAGCTTCATGTATAAACATTTCTTCTCTCATGTTGACATCCCGCCTCAGAATATCAACATCCTTGATGGGAACGCCTCAGATCTCGCCGCTGAATGCGCCTCTTTTGAGGCAAAAATCGCCCGCTACGGCGGTATCGAGCTCTTCCTGGGCGGCGTTGGCCCAGACGGACACATCGCATTCAACGAGCCAGGATCGTCCCTCAGCAGTCGCACTAGAGTTAAGACCCTGGCTTATGACACAATCTTGGCAAACTCTAGGTTCTTTGGTGGAGATGTGGACAAGGTACCCCGGATGTCCTTGACCGTTGGTATCCAAACCATCATGGAAGCTCGGGAGGTCGTTATTGTGGCTACTGGCGCCCACAAGGCGTTGGCGGTGGAGAAGGGCCTCGAAGGCGGTATCAATCATATGTGGACACTTTCAGCCCTCCAGTTGCACCAACATCCGCTGATCGTATGCGATCGTGATGCGACTCTGGAACTCAAAGTCAAGACAGTCCGATATTTTGAGGCGATTGAACAATCCGGTACTGATGCGCGTACTCAGGGGCCGCCTCTTGTTTACCGGCCGAGGACCTATGTACCTGCTCCTATGGGGGCGAGCAAAACGAATCAGCAACCCACCCCAGCGTCGACACCGCCAAGGGTACCCAAGGACCTGAGAATCAATACTCAGCTCAACCAGACGTTAGATGACGAGGAATTGACGCCTGATAGCATGTCTTCCCGAATGGTCGATTCAGCCATCAGCGGACTCGACTCAACCTTGAAGGGGGATCTGATGTTTGACCGCATGGGCACTCGAGTCATCTCGCACTGACCAAACTCAGCACAGATCCAGGTATTATAAGACGTGCACTGATGGCTGAGTGAAAGCGTTTTGAGTTGGTACGTTGTCCTCGACAAAGTATCTGGGCCATAATTAAATTTGCCGATAAAGCGATTTATTTTTTATTTTTTCCCTTTGTTTTGGAGTAAGGTACATTTTTTGATTTGATAGCCTGGGTGGACATACCAGGAAACTCTTTTTTTTACCTATATTCATAGACGGCTTGGTACCAGGTGTTTCTATCCATACCTAACAAACTTTTTTCATAAAAGATAGATTAGACAATAATGAGATGGTATTGTGTTTGTATGGAATTACGTGGCTGATTTCATTCTATTCATGTCGTAAAGTATGTATTGTGCATGTATAGTTCATATATCTTAAGTCATTTATATACCGCGGAGCGCTTAGGAAACGCATAGACATAAGTGGTGGCCCCAACTATTTAAGAACATTTATGTGCCAGTCATCGACCTAGAGCTTAGCGAATACAGTTGCGACGGCACCATTCATGTCGACAAGGGTGCTTTTGTTCTTCACCCAAGCTTCAATGCCCCTACGGCCGTTCTCAACGCCAAGACCACTCTTCTTCCATCCACCCACTGCCATTTCAGCCGGGCTTTCACCCCAGGTGTTCACCCATGTGATACCCGCCTGAAGTTGGTCGATGACGCGATGGGCCAAATTGACATCCTTGGTGAAGACACCTGCCGCCAGACCAAGTTCGGTGGTGTTGGCCCGTCGGACTGCTTCCTCAATGGTATCGTAGTATAAGATTGACATTACGGGACCAAATATCTCCTCTTTAACAATAAGCATATCATCCTTGCAATCAGTGAAGATTGTGGGCCGGACCCAGAATCCGTTCACTAGCTCCTTTGAAACTTGTGGCTTGCCGAGTCCGCCATAAAGCAGAGTGGCCTTGTCCGTCTCGATACCATGACGGATATAGGAAATCACCTTCTCAAGATGGACGGCGGAGCTCAAGGGGCCGAAGTTGGTAGCCTCATCGAACAAGGGACCGGGGCGAATGTACTGCATCTTTTCGAGCAGGCGAGTTTCAAAAGCTGCCTTCATACTAGAAGGCACAAACACACGGGTGCCATTGGTACAGACCTGACCGGTGCTGTAGAAGTTGGCCATCATGGCTCCATCAACGGCGTTTTCAAGCTCTGCATCAGGGAGGATAACCAGAGGGCTTTTTCCTCCAAGTTCCATGGTCACATATTTCATGTGGCCAGCGGCGGAACCGGCGACCTTCATTCCAGTGGCCACTTGGCCAGTGAAGGAAACCTTGGCAATTGTTGGGTGGGAGGTCAGGTAAGCACCAACATCACCGGCGCCATAAACAATGTTGAACACACCATCAGGAAGTCCAGCTTCCTTGTAAATCTCTGCCAAAGTCTGCGCATGAAGCGGTGTGAATTCACTGGGCTTGTAGACCATGGTATTTCCAGCAGCAAGGCAAGGGGCAGATTTCCAGAGGGCACTGCTTCAGTTAGTCACAATTCAAGCCGTGGTGCGGGGAAAACTGCACTGGCAATACCAATTGGACGTCATACATTTGAATGGGATAATTCCATGCACCAATTCCTGCACAGACTCCCAAGGGAGCCTTTTTAGTGAACACCCAAGCGTCTTCTCTCAGCTGTGTGGTCTCCCCGTTCAGACCACCCCCCCAACAAGGTTCGCATAGTACTCCAGAACATCGGCACCCGTGACAACATCCACTGTACTTGTCTCTGTGAAAGCCTTCCCAGAATCTAAAGATTCGACCCGAGCGATTTCGTCATTTCGTTCACGGAGTATGAGGGACGCCTTCTGGAGAATACGTGCACGAGCAATAGGAGGAGTTTGCGACCAGCCGGGAAATGCTCGGTCAGCAGCAGCGATAGCTGCATCAATATCGGAATGGGATGCAACTTGTATTTCGGCAAGCGGGGTGGCATCAGAAGGGTTAACGGATTGAAAAGTCTTGCCGGACGAGGCAGACTGAACTTTACCGTTATAGAAGAGTTGGCGCGGAGGGAGAGGAAAGGAGGACATGGTATGCGTCAATATTGAACCGGTAAAATATTAGTTTTCTAAGAGGGGGTAGGAGGGGAGTTCGTATGTAGGACTTCCAGGTGTGCTAATTTATATCATACTACGAACTATAGTATCTTCTCGGAATGACGGAGAAGGGAAAAAAATGTTGTCCGGAGGAAGACCTTAAGCTTTACGTACTCCAGACCGCCAAAGCTGTGATTCGCTCGCTACCCCTCACCTTTATCTGGGTATTAAGGCGGCAGGCGATCATCGGCGGCAAACTGAAGAGCAAAAAGGTTTTTTGTCTTTTTGTCTTTTTAGCTTTTACGCCTTCTTCCTCTTCTTCCTCGGCCGGGGTCTCGGTAACCTCCCAAACCAAGGAGAACAGCTATTAAACGTTCCCCATTAGATGGAAGAATGGCAGTGCTGCCATTCTTCTACCTATTTCGGAATTCTTACCCATCAACCCCAAGGTGGTCATTCACCCAAGGGAAGTGTTATCTCAATATTCAATTGTGGATATTCTCCGTTGAGCTGCCTTGTTGGGTTAACGGCTGGCCCGTGCATTAGTTCGTGGCGTATTTTAGCGCGAAACCTCGTGTGGGGTTTGACGTCGTGAGGCGGAAGAGAAGTTTCATAGAACTGTATATGGAAGGGGACGTTCTGCTAGTAACATAGCGAGCCGTACCTTTGCTATCGATTGATATGAACTCTAGTAGATGGAAAGAGCAGCAGTGACTCAACTTAGAATAACTTCTCCGATTTGCCGGGTGCTTCAACACTGAACCCTCGATCGCCTTGGAAATCAAGTCAAGATGGATGGATACTGATCAACGATTCTCGATGCATATTCCCTATTATCTAATCTGTAGTGGCGGCTCCACTTTCAAACCCCCCATTCACCGCCATTGGTTAACTCATTCCTTTCCAGGTGACCCGCCGAAGGGGATCCAAAAGTAGGTAAAGATTGGAATCATGAGGAAAAAAAAAAAAGTGAGTTTGTCAGTAAGAAGACGTGGTGGTCTGACGGCCGATGGCCGATGGCCTGCATCACCGCATAATTCTTCTTCTAATTTAAAAGTCGAAGTTATCTCCTCTCTTTTTCTCTTCTTTCCCCCTCAAACCATATCTCCTCTTCTCTCAACCCTCTCTCCTCTTGCCTATATCTTCTTGTGTCTTTAAGTGGAACTCTTGTGCATTTCTCAACATGGCTACCACAAATGACTTCCCGGCCGGCGATGTCAACAGCTACGACTATATCATCGTTGGAGGTGGCACGGCAGGCTGTGTCATTGCTAGCCGTCTGGCACAGTACTTGCCCAACAAGCGTATCCTTGTCATCGAGGGTGGTCCCAGCGACTTCAACGATGACCGGGTTCTCAATTTGAGAGAGTGGCTCAATCTGCTGGGAGGCGAGTTGGACTACGACTATCCCACTACCGAGCAGCCCATGGGTATGTTGCACGCCGCTATCTTGTCTTTCTCTTTGTGTGTGTTGTGTGAACCTCCTACTAGAGCGGAGACAAGTTTCTGGGGAGATTTTGGAAAGGAGAAACCTCAGTTGTTAACTTTCTTGATCCGCAGGCAACAGCCATATCCGTCATTCGCGCGCTAAAGTCCTTGGTGGTTGCTCTAGCCACAATACCCTTATCTCTTTCCGTCCTTTTGAATATGACTGCCAGAGGTGGGAACAGCAAGGTTGCAAGGGCTGGTCCTTTGAGACCTTCACCCGCGTTCTGGACAACCTGCGTAATACCTTTCAACCTGTCCATGCTCGTCACCGCAACCAGCTCTGCAAGGATTGGGTTGAGGCTTGCTCCTCTGCTATGAACATCCCCATCATTCCTGACTTCAACAAGGAGATCCGTCAGAATGGTAAGCTTACTGAGGGTGTTGGATTTTTCAACGTTTCTTATAACCCAGACGACGGCCGCCGCAGCAGTGCCAGTGTCGCTTATATCCACCCCATCTTGCGGGGTGATGAGAAGCGTCCCAACTTGACTATTCTAACCAACGCCTGGGTATCCCGTGTGAATGTTGAAGGAGACGCCGTTACCGGTGTCAATTTGACCTTGCAGTCGGGCGCCAAGCACACCCTGCGGGCCAAGAAGGAAACCATCCTCTGTGCCGGTGCTGTAGACACTCCTCGCCTAATGCTGCTCTCTGGATTGGGTCCTCAGAACCAGCTGAGCTCCTTGGGAATTGAAGTGGTTAAGGACATCCCTGGTGTCGGTGAAAACCTCCTGGACCACCCGGAGAGTATCATTATGTGGGAGCTCAACCGCCCCGTGCCCCCCAACCAGACCACCATGGACTCCGATGCTGGCATCTTCTTGCGTCGCGAGCTTCCTAATGCCGCTGGCTCTGATGGCCGTAGCGCCGATCTTATGATGCACTGCTACCAGATCCCATTTGATCTCAACACTAGTCGCCTTGGATACGACGCTCCTGTTAATGCTTTCTGCATGACTCCCAACATTCCTCGCCCCCGCTCTCGTGGCCGTATCTACCTGACCTCGGCTGACCCCAACGTGAAGCCGGCTTTGGATTTCCGTTACTTCACTGATCCTGAGGGGTATGATGCTGCCACCATAGTTGCCGGTCTCAAGGCGGCTCGTGAGATTGCCCAGCAGGCTCCTTTTAAGGACTGGATTAAGCGTGAAGTTGCTCCCGGTCCCAAGATCCAAACCGACGAGGAGCTGTCCGAATATGGTCGTCGGGTGGCCCACACTGTCTACCACCCTGCTGGAACCACAAAGATGGGTGATGTTTATCGTGATCCTCTGGCAGTCGTTGACCCTCAGTTGAAGGTCCGTGGCCTGAAGAATGTCCGTATTGCTGATGCCGGTGTCTTCCCTGAGATGCCCAGCATCAACCCAATGTTAACAGTACTGGCCATCGGAGAGCGTGCTGCGGAGTTGATTGCTGAAGAGGCCGGATGGAAGCGTGAGCAGCCCCGTCTGTAAACTCTTTTGTCCCTTACTCGGGATACCTCGCTGTTTTGCGAAGGCGACTACGTAGGGGGTATATATGAGCGGCATTGGAAGTACTCAGATGTCGTACGATTCATGACTTATGTCCACAACATCAAATTGAGAAGATGAAAGACGCAAAAAAGACGGGGGTGGGCGTTCTGCACCGCTACATGTTGCACTATTGGCAGTGGTTAAATGGATAGGGCTATCGTGTTGCCTATCCCATATCTTTTATTCCTGTACTTATTCCTATGATTTTGAGCGATCACAGTTTTAGCGCCTGTACGCAGCGCCATCAGACTCTATAGAAGCCATTTAAATATTTCATACCGGGTGTCTGTCCATACAACCGCTTAACTGGTAGAAAGAGCATGATTGAAGTAGAATGACAGATGCACAGGGTAAAGTGGCCATCACAGGTAACGGTTTTTCTCCAATCTTAATAATTTTCGTCTAATCCATATGAATGACTCTATAGTCTTAATTCTATCGTGAATTGCTCTCCAGAAGACAAGAATAACAGCTACAAGGTATAAATAAAAATAATGAACGACATCGGCAAGAAGACAGATCACGCTGTTCGATACCCCTCAAAACAAAGAGACACAAGAATAAGAGGTAGTAGCTATAGAAGAAGGATAGGATAAGTAAGGTAATCTAACAGGCAATTAAAAAGAGATAGCACAACCACAAAGCGACAGAGTATAGCATGTGTATAGGACTCTGAACGCGTTAAACCTCATTGCTGGTAGCTTCTTTCTCAGCATCATAAATCTTGACACCGCGCTTCCAGACTTGATCAATTGTTAATGTAGGCCCAGAATAAGGATCTGGTGCGTCAGTCAAAACGACTAGATCTGCATCTGCGTCACAGTCCAATGTTCCCTTGACACCTTCAAGTCCCAAGAGACGTGCGGGTGTGGCAGTAACCGCATTCAGGGCCTCCGCGGTCGACGCACCAGACCATCGGCGGAAGTTGTTCACACATTCAATGAGGGTGGCGGAGCTGCCTGCAATCTTATCGGAGCCCTCAAGCGTCAACCGAGCTCCAGTCTTGACAATGCGCTCCCCGTTGGTCCAATCGTAAACACCATCCGGAAGACCGCACAACTTCATGGCGTCAGTCACGAGAATGAGACCGTTTGGATGGGCGTTGTACGCAATCCGAATTGAGGTGGGATGGAGATGAATGCCATCGGCGATGACACCATAGAAAGGTCGGGGGTGCTCATTTTGGCCCAGAAGACCGAATACGCCAGGGTTGCGATGGTAGAAGGGCCGCATAGCATTGAAAAGATGGGTAATCATGGTCGCACCTTGTTTTGTGGCGTTCATGGCTTGCTCATATGTTGCATCTGAATGTCCAATTGAATAGATAATGTCTTGGGCGGTCAGGTTTGGAATATTGTTGACCATGCTGCCCACTTCGGGGGCAGCTGTGATCATTCTTACTGTTTTCGACAGTCCGAACATGTTTTCCTTGCCATAGCAGCTAACAACATCTTCAAAATTCTTCGCGGTGCGCAAAACATCAGTTTTGTGGATGCCATTGCGGCCGGGGCTGATAAATGGGCCTTCTACATGGGCACCCAGCGACTCTGCACCATCTTCTGCGCGATGCTTGGCTCCAGAAGGACCTAAAGATGGGAGTACCTAAAGAATATGTTAAAAGTTTTGATTATGATATTGATATTTGCATATATCCATTATCGAAGGACAACAAGGGACCAGCAACTTTTTTTTTTTTTAAAAAAAAAGGTTCGGACATACTTTCCAGTAAACCTCCGGCGTTGAACTAACGACGGTTGGGAGATATGATGTCACACCAGTTTTGGCGAGGCCCTTATTGACCATGCGCAACCCTTCATCATATTCCTCTTTTGAAGCTTTGGGAACCGAAAAGTCAAAGCCTTGGGCACCGTTTAACTGCACATCGATGAGTCCTGGAGCGAGGATTCGGCCACCCAGATCGATGACCTCATCGGGAGATATGTGCAATTCATAAAAGGCCTCCTGATCGCGAAGAATCTTTCCAGATAGAGAATCAATCCAGACATCTTGCTCGATGAGCTGGTTACCGTGAACAATCCGGCAGTTGGTAAATTTTGTTATGCGTGGTGGGGTAGCTGTTTTGCCAGGCATGATGAGGATGAGGATGATACAGATAGCAAGAAATGTCTTGGCAGTTATTGAAAAGAAAGCAATAGATCATCCACAAGAATAAGAGGGGGACCGAAGAAAAGAGGGGGAAATTATGTATATGAAGATCTTTCGAATTAAAGACAGAATGTGAAAGGCTACATCATGGACAGATAGTAACATCCATCACGGCCGACAGACACACGCAAATGGAACGGGGAATGTCATCCAGAAAACGTGTGAAGAAGATCGACATGCAGTGGCTCCATGAGGTGTCTATTGTCTCTTGAGGTTGCCTCCCATGGGGGAAAAAGTCCCACTGGATGAGAATGTGACATTGACAGGAACGAGGGGGGATGTGACGTCTATGGCCTGATGGGGCATGATAAGAAATTAATATTAGGAACTAGATTCCATGGGAAGGAAGAGGGGTTCTTCCCATTGTGATGTATCATCAGGCACTTTTTTACCCCTTAGAAATAAGAAGAGGGGGGGAAAAGATGAATGCGATTCATACATCCATCAATGCAATTTCCTTGTAGTGAATACAACCAACCTGCTCTGGAGTATAGAGTGGCTAAGTCAGGAATTAGTCATGAAGTAGATAAGTCCACACTAACAATTTGTTACATACCAGTACCTCAGGATACTAATACATACTGCCTTCATACCGAGTGCAACCATACAGTTAAATTACCATACAGGAAGTGTTTGTGTAGGCCATTGCAGACAAGAGCTGTATCCACCTACGGTGTATATTACAGACCTATATAAAAGATCGAGTAGTACAGAGTAGTACAGGTATTATAGACCGTGCATGTATTAGTAGGGATTGTTCTGCAAGAGACTAGGTAGATGAGCTTATTCAAGCATTGTACTGACTATTCCTTCGTTTATGTCTGCTCAACACTGATATGATATAATGGATTGCCATTTCTTTTTTCCCTTTTTTCCATTTCTGTAGGGAGAGCTTTACTACTAACTGTACGGTTTCATCAAGACCCACCAATACTACGCTACAACTACTGTACCAGCGGAAACTCAATTTGCCTCCCCGCATTCGGCATCGCCTTGGACGGGTCAAGGTTGCAAACAGTCAATGTTACCGTCTCCTTTGGCTTTTCGTTGCGTTCCCATGGAACGATTCTGGTTGGACAGTGGATAAGTCTGGCGATAACCAGCCACACTTTGGGAAAAGATCGTGGATCGCGTCTCAGCTGTAAGCGACTGCTGCTATCATAGGGAAAGAAAAAGAAGAAAGAAAAAAGTTTTACAAGACCCAATGAAGAGAGAGATATTCTATTTACGTTCAGGATGTCTCTTCTCTCCTTCTGTTTCTTTATTACTCACCACTTATCTATGTATATCTCGGCAATAAATTCATTCTCTTTATCATAGATAGCACCGAATATAGAAATAGAGACTAGGCTACAAGACGGGCTAAAAAATGTATGAATGAACACGCGACTCGGTGACTGAGACAGAACAGTTATTACCCTAGATTAACATTCTTAATCTTGAAAAATCTTTTTTATTTTTCAAACACTCGCTTTCCTGTTACTCAATCTTTCCCATTTCGACTCGTCTTTTGTTTTAGGGCTAGTTTCTTCTTTTGTTATTTACCAAATTGTTTCGCGAATTTAGGACTCCTATTTCCCGATCGGCAATCTATTCATTCGCTGCAGTTTCTCCGCAATTTCCACTGGAGTCGTGGAGAGAGAGTGAGCAAGAGATCCGAACTGTGGTTATCGATTCCTAGGCAGTTCTTGGGCTGATTCTCCGCTGCACCCTTCCTTCTATAGGGTTTATTTGTTGGGCTCTCCTTCTCTCTTCGTCTTTTTTTTTTTTCTTTTTCTTTTAGCCCTCCTTATTCTCGGATTGCAACACTCGTGGAAAGGAAATTTCCACGACGTTATCAGTCTTGACTGACATCGTGCAAAAACACTGATACCGGGTCAACGCAACATTAGATCAAGGTATGTTGTGTCTTCGCTTTTCTTCGAGAATCATGACTTTGTCTCTCCTCCCCACTATCAAATCGTAGATGTAGTATTGTTGTCATCTATGGTGGTATCCGCAGGTCTACACTACACTACACTACACAATTACACATCATTTGAAGTTCACAAGCACCAGCTGGATGCGACTTTGAAGCCCCAAGCCCAAGACACTCTTCTTAAAACATATGAGGTTGGTCTGGTTCTGCTATTAATATCCCATATTTGTTTCGCTTTTTCCCTCTTCTTCCTTACCCCAGATTGAGATCCCCAACATCACAACAAACATTGAACATTCCTTCCTCTAATTGTTTTGCCTCCGCTTGTGCTGTGGTGTCATTCTGTGCTACTTCAGTTCTTGCAAATTCTTTGTATAATACTTATCTTTTCCAAAACAGAAAACCACCCGACCTAACTTTTCTTCTTCTTTGCCTACAGATTTGATACTCTTGTATTATTTGTTCCTGCTATTCATTCACTTGCTTCCGGTAACTTCCCTTTCCCTTCTCTCTTTCTCTCTCCTTTTTTTCATTTTTCATTCCTTTTTTTTGACATGTGTATCCCTCTCCCTTTTGTTTACCTTGTTCCACCTGTTTCCCCCTTTTTTCCTTGTCTCCTACATTCTTCCTCAACCCTTGCTTTCTTTCTTCAAGCTTCATCACCACCAAGCACTCCATTCTTATCTCTCTTTCTCCTCTGATATTCTTTGATCCACTATTGTGCATTAGACTGGGCTTGAACATCCCACTTTCAGGTACTGACCGCTTTGAAGTGAACTACTACTCTCTTAACAAGCTTTTACCCAGCCTCTTATCACAGCCCTTAGAGATTCCCTTCCTGCATCCTTCAAGCAATGGGTAACTCAACAGTTGGCGATGACAATCCCGCGGAGAAGGAGTTTGCTGCCGCCACTTCGGATCCCGAGGCTGGTCAGGACTCCGTCTCGGGGAAGCCGTGGATGTACAAGCCTTGGAAGATTGGCCCTTTAACACTGCCCTGGTTTGCACATCCGATGACCCAGCTCGTTCTGGTCTCCTTTGTTTGTTTCCTTTGCCCTGGCATGTTCAATGCTGTGAGTGGCCTTGGGGGCGGTGGTCAGGTCGATGCAACCGATGTTAACAAGGCCAATACCGCGTTATATAGCACATTTGCCGTGGTAGGCTTCTTCGCTGGTTCCATTGCCAATCGTATTGGCCTCCGCCTGACTCTTTCTTTTGGTGGATTTGGATACTTCCTCTATGTGGCATCGCTTCTGTCATATAACCATAACTCCAATGCCGGCTTCCTGATCTTTTCTGGCGCTCTGCTCGGTGTCTGTGCTGGGTTGTTGTGGTGTGCCCAGGGAGCCGTTATGATGAGCTACCCACGTGAACACGAAAAGGGCAAATACATCTCCATTTTCTGGGTGATCTTTAACCTCGGTGGCGTGATTGGCAGTCTGGTAGGTTCTTTTGCTCCCGTATCCTGCCCTCGTATTTAGTAGGTGAAGAGACACTAATGATTCCGTTCGTACGTATAGGTACCTCTGGGCCAAAATCTGCATTCTACCGCTGGTAGTGTCAATGATGGTACTTACATAGCTTTCATGGTCCTTATGGCAGTCGGTTTCGTTCTCGCATGGGGCTTATCTGATTCGAAGTACATTATGCGCTCGGACCGTTCACGTGTCATTGTCATGAAGAATCCCTCCTGGAAATCTGAATTCAAAGGTCTCCTTGACACCCTGCGCAGTGATTATTACATTGTCCTTATGTTCCCTCTGTTTTTGTCGAGCAATTGGTTCTACGGTTACCATTTCAATAGCGTCAATGGCGCCTATTTCAATGTCCGCACTAGGTCTCTCAACAGCTGCCTCTATTGGCTCATGCAAATGGTCGGTGCCTTCGTCTTCGGCTTTACTCTGGACATGAAGTTCTTTTCTCGGTCAATGCGCGCAAAGATCAACTTCGCCCTACTCTTTCTTCTCACATTGGGTGTTTGGGGTGGCGGTTATGCCTTCCAGAAGCAGTATACCCGTGCCGACGCGCCGCTTGATAAGGACTGGTCAGATAGTGGCTATGTTGGTCCTATGTTCCTTTATATGTTCTATGGTTTCTACGATGCTGCCTTCCAAACCTGCGCTTATTGGTTAGTTCCCCGCCTTTCTTTACCTCGTCGCCCACACATCACCTTCCCCGTTCAAATTACGAAAGTGAGGGATTGACGATTAATTTCTGTATTACAGGTTTATGGGATCGCTTACCAACAACGCCCGCAAACTGGCAAACTTTGCTGGCTTCTACAAGGGAATTCAGTCCGCTGGCGCTGCGGGAATGTGGGCGTAAGTCACTACACAATTGTGTCTTCCTAATTGAATGCTTTAAATCTTTACTAACGACTTCCTTTCCATAGCATGGACCTTGATAAGGCGCCTTTTATGACCGAGCTTGCCTCTTGTTGGGGTCTTCTCCTCGGAAGTCTTCTGATTGCATCCCCCATCATCTTCTTCAAGATTAAGGACCATGTAGATATCGAAGAAGATCTCAAATTCTCCGATGAAACAGCTCATGACGTCATGGGTAACATCCCTATGGAAGAACAGACATCTGGAAAGAGGGAGGAGAAGCGGACGTCTGTCGCTTAAACTTGCTTAGTGCCCATCGTTTGCTGCTTATTTGAATGTATTTCTTTTCTACGCTAAGGTCAACAGTTGATATCCATGATGACATGTTGGGTAGCCTCAGTGGAAAGCTTCTCTTTTACTCTTTACTCGAAGGTACACTCGGGCTTACAGTTTGTGATGTACCATTGAATTAATGCTCAAACAAAACATGTATTTAATTACGCCCAGTTGTCATGAATGATTTAATATAAGAATGTAACGGATCTCCGTCTTCTGACGCAAACTGAGAAAGCCGAGAAGGACTGTTATTGTTCCGGCGAACCGAGTAATTTACAGCTGGATTACGCGTCCATACCACTGGTTCCCATGGCGAGTGACAAAAGTCGGAATAGGGTTTCTTTCCCCACAAACTCTGTACATGCATATGTATATACTAGTATGTGCAGTGGATATGAGTGTTCCATACATTCTCACATTTCTGCTCCAGGCAACGTGACGTCATATTGTTTCAACTGTCTTGTCAGATGCTATGCCATAGCGTATTCATAAGACACCAGCACTGGACATGCCGGTAGCCGTAGGCAGCGACATAGACGATTGCGTATGTGTGGCTGTGGTCGTTCCGTTCGTCTTGTAGCTGGGCCAGATCTTCTTCTGGCCCTCTGCGATATCCCAACCAAAGAGTGTCCGGTTAAACAATTGCAGGGAGGCGATGGGCTGGTAGTACGGGACTTCATGGCCTGCCTCATAGACACGGGTGAAGGAGAAATTACCATACTCGCGAGTTTCCCCATACTCTACGCCGTTGACTTTCAAGGGCGTGTACCCTGCGCTTCGGAACTGGGCGGCGTGGGAGTAGTTCGCCGCGAGGGAAACGGCCTGGCCACCAAACCAGTTGCAGATGTAATCGGCGTCGCCATAGATGAGGGAGACACGCACGGGGAGAGCGAGGATCTCTTCAAGGTCTTCGATGAAGTTGGGCCAGACGAAGTCACCCTTTTGCTGGAAGGCGTAGTAGACATCATTGTTGGACTGGGTGTAGTTGATGTTGACGCCAATGGCGTCCATGACAGAGTCCTTTGCCAGGAAATTGTTGTAATAACTTGGCGGGGTTGGGTCCTGACACCGTATTAGGGATTTTATTCGTTATCAATGAACGATGTATCGTGTGGCATGCGGTGCGAATATATGGATTTAAAGCTCTACTTACATCGTACGGATGCCGAATATCATACACACCACGACCACTAAAGGCGTAGTATGGCCCCTCTATTACTTGTGTTAAATAATACCTTGTGTTTCAGGGAGGGAAATGAACGTACCAACATTGTCTCTGCACATGTTGGTGGCTTCGGCGCAGAGGGCATAGTCAGCTAGTGCGGTGCGGTTTGTTTGTTTGCAAGAGGAAATCATATCCTGGCAACCGTTTGGCATTTGATTGGCAAACTTCATGTAGTTGTAAACGGTCTCGTTGACCTTTTCATGGTGATGAGTATTAGTGGAAATAATCCCATGACCATAAGCGGAAACTCACAGCCTTGATACCGTAGGTGTTGTTCACAGCGAATTCGGGGTAGTAAGGGGCCTGTGGGTACAAGTTAGCAGCTTTGTTCGGAGGGTATTATATAGGCTGTTTCGATGGTAATAGTAGATATACCTGGATTGCCTCGTCGATGATGCCGTTGATAATTCCTAGAGAGTTGAAGTTAAGCTGGACACCAGCAATAGTACCATTGGCAATTCTCTCATTCTGCTCATAGAAATGATTGAAGAACTAGGTTCATTAGTCTTGCATACGTTGACCTATCGTCCAGGTAGAACTTACTGCAGGACCATAGTGCCTTTGAGCCAAAGGAAACCCGTCAGCGCAATCATCACAGCCATTTAAAGATTCGCAGAAGGAAACCACATACCCCCCGTAGCTCTCTGTCCACAAACTGAAGTCCTTAGATTGCACCCTAGAGTCCAAGTTCGGCAGCCCACCAAGAAATCCCTGAAGGATTTCCCACGCGGCCTCTGCGGCAAGCTCAGTAGTATCTGCTGTCGTATCAGTAAATGGAAACATGTGGACCGGAAGAAACCCATACCGATCAGAGTGGCATCAATGGTTGGGTACCGGCCCTGAACTCCTGCGAAGCTTGAATTTTCGACAACCCCAGTAACAGGGTTAATGGACCCGTCAACTGTATCACTATAAGAAAACCCTACGGGCAGAACATCGTAAGTATGGGAAGACCGTAATAGGGGAGGGGGCTGCAATCCATACCAACCCCCAATGGCTGGGACAGGAAGAGTAAATTGGAGACCTCGTTCCACGAGTAAGGGTTGATGTAATCATCAAGAGTTGAATTGACATGGCAAGGACCCAACTCTAACCAAGGGTTAACAACGACCTAGAAGGAGACTGTAACGAGCGTTGGGCAGACCTTCAAAGAGACCGATTAAAGAATCGCTCCCAGGGCCACCGTTCAGCCACAATGTGATAGGTGCAGTTTCTGGATTATGTCTAGCTTCGAAGAACCAGAAGAAGGTATGAGACTTGGGAGAGGTGTCGACATATCCAGAGTAAGATTTGACCCCCGGGGTAGTCTCGCAGACGCCCTCTGCACCGGGTTCCTTGTACCGGATGGTGACATTGTTTGCGGTTGTAAGGGTCTTGACCCCGGTGGAGTTCTTGGGCAGCTGTCGTCTACCGACAGACGCTGGGGTACTTCCTGGAAGCGCCCAGCTGGCTGCAACCAAGGGTAGCACGAAGAGAAATTCGTAGCCACGCATGTTTACGAGGGTTGAGCAGTCCACTCTTGGCCCCTCGTTTGATATATGTCCTATACGTGGGCAAGAGAGAGCTGCTATCTAGCAATAAGCAACCTGGCTATGAGCTACTAGCAACGTCTTCAGTTACTGGGGGGATTAGCAGTCGGAAGAATACCCTCTGGCTTTTATATGTCGGGCCAACAGACTTCCAGCTGGCCCGCATAGTGGGCTGTACGCAGCCATTAGGGGCCTTGGATGCAATGTACAAACATTGGATTGCGATATCGACTAGTAACTTATCCTGGTAGTTTTCCGGCATATGGCATGACTTGTTTGGCACGGACGGAATCTACGGAATATTCTGAGCAAGCTTAGCCTTGCAGATCGCTCCATAGCTGTCCGCGTGCGGTATCACCATGCACGGCTCATTTTCTCTAGGCAGCTTCCAGGAATCCTGCTATCCACCGGGTGGCTTCTCATCGCTTATCGCAGGATCAAAACGGAGCTTCCCAGAATGGAGAGGATCGACCGGATGAATCGATTGACATGGCGACGTATCTCTTAAACCCCGCAATCATCGGGGAGGGGGCAGGCCTGAGGAGTCAGGGCCAATGGCGATCATTTAGAAGCCGGCGCATTGGCAACCGGGCATTGGGCTAGGGCACCTTGCATTGGGGATAACAGGGAAGAGAAAGACAACGTGCAGGAAGTCCTCATATCCATACCCAAGAGGAGTCGACCACAGCACAACTAAGGTTCACTAGATTGGCTCCTAAGTTAACGACCTGCCAGATGAGGGTTAATGTCTCACGGAAATGTCCGATCATTGAATCCGTACAGAACGTTACCCCTCAATGTGTTCTTCCACTTGCGTCGTCCTGTGTATGCATGTACATACATACATACTACATAGTACATACCAAGTCCATACATACGGTAGTGACAATACGTTCCGGGAGCGAAGAAAGAAAGAAGGATAGTTAGATACCTAGCCAGATAGAAAGAAATACCTAATTATTGAAAGCTTCCATTCCTCGCACTATCTATCAATTTAGATAGATAACCACCAATACTACTAGTAGTAGGTGTATCGGACAACAGCTGGTAAAGTAAAAGCTAAATAAACAAATAAAAAACACAAGCCACACCCAACCAAGAACGCTCGAAACGCCTCCACGTGGTGCCCACCAGCTGAACTTTATGGATTAAGAATTCATTTGGGTTTTTTTACTCAATGACCTCACTTATCTACTACGATTCTTCGCTTACCGGGGGGGAAAGGCTAGATTTAGATAAACAGAATATAGAACTCTGTTGATCCTATACCGAAGCCAAGACTCCCACGGCATGCTTAATTCGGCCTCACAAGAGATGCCGCATGCATGTGATAAAGGTCAAGACAGCGATACTCTAGGGTTTCCGGTTGTTGATAGCCCGCGGCTCGGTCGGCTTCATCGGAATGCTGCGCGCTTCTGCTTTCGGTCCGACTGAGGCGCGAGAAATGGAGTTGGCATCTCTCAGAAAACTCGGGCGAAGAGAAAAAAAAATATATATAAGAATAAATAATAAATAATAAATAATAATAATTCATATATCGGTTTGTCATATTCATCATTATGTACTTTTCGAGATGATCTCTATACAATATAAACACAGTTGTTCTCACGGGGATGTGGAACTGACATAAATCACATCTTGAGAGTGCCGTTACACATGATGCGCCATCCTTTACATGCCCTTGCTTTTGAAACCGTCCAACTGAATATAAGATCAAGTCACGCCCAACCCCATATATATACGCGTAATCACCCGGACAAAGGGAATTAGAATGGAAAAAAAAAGGAGATCGTAACACATGGCTTGCTTTAATCATAGATTCAACCCAAGCTCGGCTTCGAGATCGGCAATGCCATTAAATTCGGTCCGTGGTGCCTCATTGGCGCTCAGCGTGGTCGAGGTGCGATCCTCATGGAGTTGACCATCGCCTAACCCGGCGAAACCAACTTCTTTGCTCTCAGGTCCGAACAAGTCCGGCACGTTGTCCATTGTGCCGATATTGAAACCATACCCCTGGCCTTTCGGGTTGCCATTGATGTTAAGACCGTCATCGGCTGCGAACAACTCCGCGCCGGTGTCATCAAAGTTGATCAAGGCGTCAAAGTCGTTCTGAGTCACCTCCGCATCATTTGCCAAGTCCATAAGTTCACTAATGCTTAGGTCGGAGTCTAGATTGGGAATTGCGAAAGCGTCCTGATGGTAGTGTGGGT